TGTGGTGTGCACAAGTCAGTTAAAGATGATTTTTTGTTGTATGTTTGAGTAGGTAAAAGACTTCTTTCAGCTTTATAAATTTGTTTGGACTGTATAACCAAGCCTCTATCCATGTTATATGAAAGGATAGGCATCCCTAAAGTATCTAGGCCGGTTTAATTTAGCAATTCTTTTATAATCCTATGTCTCTCAGCAGCTGCCATTCACTCATCAGCATTCAAAGAATTCAAAGTCAACAAAGCACCATACAAGATCAGGATTCCCTGTGCATTATCCATCTTTACATGGCTTATTCTTTTTATATTACTTATTCTTTAAAGACTTAATTATTTTTAAACTACTTAGTTTTTCCTATAACTGTCTGTACCCATTTTCTTTTCTTTCTTCAGCACCTATGCACACTATATACAACCCGTTTAAAGAATTTTTTTGGATCTGTTTTCCTGTGCACCTGTAGCATAAGAGCCAAACTTTAAACTGCTAAGTGGCATCTATGACCTTCACTGTGTGGCTCTGGCAGTTGGTTTTGTCCCCTCATCAGGTCCATAAGAGCCGAGCCTTAAGCCCACAGGACTGGCCAAGAGTTGTGTTTAACTGGGAGCTGCATCTTAATGGTTAAGAGAGTCATTTAGCCACCCCAGCTCTAAAAGTTGGTGCCTGCAACTGTGGCAGACATTTTTATTCAGCTTGCTGTTTCTACCTAGCATGCCAGCTGCTCAAGTGTTCTCCTGCATGGCAGTACCTCTTAAAAGAAGCCATATCTGTGGGGTTTTTAATTTTGTTTCCTTCCGGTTTAGCTTTCTCAGGCCCTATGTGGAAATTCAGGCCCCAGGTTGGGTGCCGTTTGTAGTTGGAATTTTCTTTGAGTCACCAACCAGCTCCCAAATAAAGTCACAGAGACTTATCAGTGATTATGAATGCGTGGTCTTAACTTACGTTTGCCCTATTAGTTATTTTAACTGTTTCTATTCGTCTACATTTTGCCTTAGGGCTTTTTACCTTTCTTTTATTTTATCTGCACTACTCTCATGCTTTGTCTGTGTTTATCTGTCTGTGCCCTGGAATCTCCCTGGTGTCCCTTTTTGTTACTTCCCCAAGCCTAAATTCCTCCTCTTACTTATTCTCTCTGCCTGGAACCTACACCTCCTCCCTCACTATTGGCTATTCAGTTTTTTATTAAACCACTCAGGTATCTTAGACAGGCAAGGTAAAATAGCTATAGGTTTTGTGTCAGAAATCTATAAAGTGGTGTAGAAACCCGGAGGTTGGTTAGCCTACTGCAGCGGTCCACATAAGAAATGATGGGTGATGGACGGCTCCAACAGGGGGCTTGAGGGCAGCAAGGAAGGCCAGCTTGCAAGGCAGCACTAGGAAGCGGTGCTCTTTGGACCGTGACGGAACTGCAGTGTGAAAACTAGGACGCAGATGAGGGCGCTGTGCTTTGGGAATAGAGTGTCAGTGCCAGGCTCATGGTAAAATTTGAGCATGCTTTGGGTAGGGACAGACTCAAGAGAAACAAGTTAGAAACAATGCAGGAGCTGGTTAGACCTGGTACCTGGACTTCTCCAAAAGGTTCTCATATACTTAGGGCACTGTGGGTGTAACTAGACTAAAGGACTAGGACTCTGTAAGTTAGAGGGCTGATTCTGGCTCTCCAGTTCACCCACACACCATCTTATGCCAATGCTTGTCTGCCTTCCCTCCTGGGGAGCAAGACTCTGAGAGCAGGAAAAATTATTCCTGGAATAGAAGAGACACTGCCTAAGTATTTGAGAAGTGAATAAATTTTATTTCTTTAGTTTTTTAAAAAATTTAGATTTCTCAAAAAGAAAATTGAAATTGACCCCCGTGCCAAAAAGAAATTTGGCTATTAACAGCATCCTTGTTAAGCTGGGTTCATGGGGCATGCCTGCAATTCCAGCATTCCAGAGGCAGAAGTCAGAGGATTGAAACCTTTGACTAGCCTGGGCTACAGACACAGTAAGTTCCAGGTCAGCCTGGGCTCTGCAACATCTCACCTAAGAGTCTCAAAGAGACAAACACAAACATTCTTAACATTCTACCATTTTGATTATTGTTTTTTTTTACATTTCACTTATTATTTTGCCACTAATATTCTACTTTGCCAGTAGGGAGAAAGGAGTGGACAAGGGAAAATCAAATCCTAGGCACATAAAAAAGCCTTTTTGTCTCTCTGTGAAAATCAAGGAAGTAATTCAGCTGTAGTACCTTTCCCACAGATGATAAAACAAATATTCTTTTTAAATTTTTTTTTATTTTGCCTGGGGGGAATGTAACTTCCATCTTAGCAAAGGGAATAAGGCTGAACATGACCAGGAGGTCATGCAGGAAATAGGACATTTAGAATAGGACCTGACTATATAGCGCTGGTTTCCCTTAAATTTGCTGTTCTTGAATAATTGGTGGAACACGTAGAAGTCAGTTCTTTGCTTCTACTGTGTGGGTTCTTGGAATTGAACTCAGATCATCAGACTTTGCAGCAAGCACCTTAACCTGTTTAGACACCCTACTGGCCCCGGAACTTGCTATGTAGAATAGGTTGTCCTTGCTTCCTAAGGGCTGGGATTACAGACATATGCCACCACACCGCCAGGCTGAATTTTCAGAGGCCTGTAGCTTCAGGAGCCAGACTTAATCTGTCTATTTTTTTTTTCTTTTCGGGGGGTTGTGTTGGGAGCAAGTTCTGATGCTGTAGGTCAGACTGGCATTAGGAGCATGGGTCACCACAACCAGACTTTAAAGTAGCCTCAAGTTGTTAAATTGTAAAGAGCAGATACCCATCCCAACAAGGCAAATTACTGGGTGAGGGTGGGGGAGTAGCAATTGAGTCTCCAAGGGCAACAGGGAAGTTTAGATCTCCCAAGAGACAAGAAGAAACTGGAAAATTAAGAACCAATGCCATCCTCCACTTCTGAGTCTCTTTATTACACATCTTACACACACGCCACACTCTCATTTTCTTGAAAATTAGTCTTCCATTAGTGCTTCTGAAACTAATGTGAGAGTTGTGGAATATTAAATAAACAGTGAAAGGTTTATTAACACACAGCAAACAATCAAATGATAGTGAAAAAATAAACAAAGAACCTGAATTGTTTCTGGCAGCATTTGTTGTGTGGTACATCATGAAGCTTCAGTCATCCCCAGAATTGAACCCCTCCCCAGTGCCAAAAAGAAACTTGACTGTTGACAGCATCCTTGTTAAACTGGATGCAGTTCCTGCAATCCCAGCATTCCAGAGGCAGAGGTCAGCTTTCCATTTCCTGATCGCTAATCTATAATAAAAGAGTCTTAAAGTCCCTGTTTCCTGCTTCTTTCCCACAGGTGAACCAGACTCTCCAGAAGCAGGGTTCAGTCTGTGTTTTATCTTAATGAACCCCAGTAGGATTTTTGGGAACCTATTCCCTATGCTGGATTGCCTTGCACAGCCTTGATGTGGGGGAGGGACTTGGCTCTGCCTCAACTTGTAGTACTATGCTTTGTTGACTTCCATGGGAGGCCAGTCCCTTTCAGAATGGAGACACAGGAGGAGTGGATGGGGGAGAAAGAAAAGGGGAGACTGGGGGAGGGAACGAGAGGAGGGAGGAGAAAAAATTAATAAAAAGAAAGAGAAAAAAAGGCCAGGCGGTGGCGGCATATGCTTTTAATCCCAGCATTCCAGAGACAGAGGCAGGCAGATCTCTGGGAGTTCAAGGTCAGTCTGATCTACACAGCGAGTTCCAGGACAGGTTCCAGGCTTCAAAGCTACACAGAGAAACCCTGTCTAGAAAGAAAGGAAAAAAAGAACCCCAGCAGATCACAAAGTGACAGACACATGGGAATGATTCTAGACAGGACTGGGATATTGACTACATCAACAAAAAAGGGAAGTTAGTCATTGCACACAATATTCCTGCACATAATAAACTGAGGTGTTTTTTTTTAAGAGAATAGATATCAAGTTTCTTAAAAATACAGTATTTTCTGGCTATAAAACAAGATATCACTTTTAAAAACTTTAATTTTGACATGTAGTCATTTAAGTTTTTGTTTCCCATTCACATATATATGAACATTTTTATTTTTTAAAAATAGAACTATAGAGTATCTGTGATATTTCATAATTTGTTTTGCTCACTTAAAAATAGGTCATGAGGGGCTCAGTGGCTAAGAGTCACATAGTGGTCACACCATCATCCTCAGGTATGTGTATGGTATAGAGACATACGTGCAAGAAAAAACTCAGACACATAAAATAAACCTAAAAGAAAATTTTAGAAGGCTCCATCTTAGTTAGATAGAGATTTTAAAAACAGACTAGTTTCATAGTCTTGGGTGATGTGGGCTGTCTCTCTATAAGCTGTGAATATGTTTTATTATCAATGGTTAATAAATAAGCTGATTTGGCCAATACCAGGCAGAATAGAGCCAGGCAGAATCGAGCCAGGCAGGAAATCCAAGCAGACAGGGAGAAAGACGGCAGAGTGAGGGAGATGCCAGCAGCCACCAAAGAAGCAAGATGTGAGGTAACAAGCCACAAACCTTGTGGCAAAATATAGAATAATAGAAATGGGTTAAGTTGTAAGCGCTAGTTAATAATAAACCTGAAGAAAAGAAACTTCCAGTGACACTTGGATATAGGAATAAACACCTGCACAGAGGAGAACAGAGTGGGGGACTGATTCCGGAAAGAATCAGTAGTTGGCTCCAAGTGTCAGCTAGCCCACAATTTAGGATTATTAACTTTTAAGTACTCTTAACACGTAGTGGTCGGAGTGACCATGACTGGGAGCCAAGGCTACTTAGCTAGATAACCCCTATGTAACAGACTCTGTGGGGAACTGTGCTGCCAGCTTCCCAAGTTCCTGCCTGCCCTTAGTAGTAGCTGCTGTGAGACTTTGGCCCCTTTCAGAGAAACTGGTTATTTGCTGAGGACTCTGGAAGGAAGAAAATGACAAAGCAGTTGAGATGGTGTATATAGCCAGATTTTCTCTCCTGAAGCAGGGCTATAACAGTTTTATTAAGACAATTTGAGTTTCAGAGCATTAATACATGGTAGAAGAGAAAACTTCCAACCCTCTCTGCCTGGCTTCAAATTCCCACAGGGGAGCCTCCTTCCATTTCATCCATTCAGTATTTTTCCTACGATAAGTTTAGTCCATGGAAACACCTGGGCCTCCCAGGTTCCCAGGTCACTTCCCCCTCCCATTCACTTTCCCAGGCCCGTAGATTTGATGTTACTGCCAACCATATTGGCTGTCTCTCTCCAAACAAACGTGTCTCCGGTGGCACACACCACGCAGAGGCAGATGGTGAGGACAGCACGTTTCCCTGGAGTTATTCTTTATGTTAATCTTTAATATTAGATGCTTGATGTTTAAAATAATTATATATAATGACGTTTATTCCCTCAAAAACTTGTCTTAATTAAAAAGACAGTGTGAGTCTTTAAGTTTCAAATTTTTTACTATTAATTCTCAACCAATTTGTCTTCACTCAAGAAGAATAGGAACCCATGTCTTCAAGAAAGTTCTGTGCATGTTACTATCTGTGAACTGGCCAGGCAGTCAGGACTCTGTGCAAACTACGAAAGCCTTACCCTTAAACAGATTTCTAATAAATGTCACGGGCATAAAATTGGAGTGAAGGGCAGTATCTCCCTAGGAAAAAACACAAGCCCCTTGATTTGAATACTACTGTACAATTTAGAGTCCTAATCCCCTTTAAACCTCATACACATAAAAACGTTCAGGTGTATCACAGGGTCAACTTCTGCCACGATGTCACTCAGTAGAAGAGAGTCTCAGTCACTTGTATTTCTCCACACCACCAAGTAGGGAAGGACAGAACAGAACGGTGGGGTCATTTGCTAGTGAGAAAGATGGGATTCCATCCATTTTGGAAAATGAATAGAAAGAACGATTTTCCTACCTCAGGTCTGGGCAAGGGGTGTGGCCACACTTTGGCAAAAGAGCCAGGCAAGATACAGAGCCAGCAGTTTCCTGGCTTGAACTGTCAGCCCTTCTGAGGTCACTCTGGGTGACAGCAGGAGCATGGGCCTGAGAGCAGCGGAGATGCTGCACACTTCAGACAGAACACAACGTGAAGAGATGGAGACTGTGGCCTGGCAGCTTGAGAAGCAGAGAACCCAGTGTCTACCTGGAGGCCTGTGGAGCCCTAAGCAGAGAGTTACGATGATGGAATATTTCTAATTGAATTTTTAGAATACATCTTCAACTTATAAAGATTCCTGGCTGGGCATGGTGGGATGTGCCTTTAATCCCAGCACTTGGGAGGCAGAGGCAGGGGATCTCTATGAGTCTGAGTCCAGCCTTCGTCCACATTGGGAGTTTCCAGGCCAGTCAAGGTTACACAGTGAGAAAACGAGGGAAATTTTTCCTTTAGTTAGGTTCTGTTTCCCTAAATGGCCTCCTGTAATCATGAGAAAGCAAGGACCTCTTTAGCCAAGACAAGTAGGCTGTCTTAGAATTTCCCATGGGGAAAAATGAAACCTGATCACTCTCTCTCTTCACTTAGTCTGTGAGTTGAGAACCCCGAGTAGAAAGATGCACAGGACGAGCAGAGGCGAGGCTGAGTCCTCCTGAGCCCTGGCCCCTCTGCTGAATGCCACTTTGAAAGGAAAGAAGAAATCAAACGGCAGTTTCCAGTCTGTTCGAGGTTGATCCCTTGGTGGCTCTGGCTTCTGAGTAATGTCCACAAAGTTCACAAGAGTTGTCAAAGGCACTTCTATTCCTCTCTGGTGCTCCTACAGGGAGAGAGGCAAGGATAAGTCAATTCTTAGTATATTCCACAAAATCTCCACCAGAATTATTTTCTTTGGACTGAAAATAAACATGCTTTAAGAAATATACATCTTCTCCTGGAATAGTCCCATGTAGTTCTCTTTGTGTGAGATATAAGCAAACACATTTCTAATAGCCCATGACTCCAGAACTGTGAACAGGTACACCTAAGGATTCAGTCTCAGAGCCTGGCACACACGTCCTTGGAGGGTAGAGACAGCAGGATCAGGAGTTTAAGGTCATCCTTGACTACAGCAAACTGGAGGCCAGTCTGGGCTATAGAAGACCCTATCTCAAAAGAGACTTTCACTATCTCTAACTAGGCAGCTGACTGGTAGCAGAAAGGCCAGATGACCAAACCGCTGCCACTACACCCTTAGCAGCTCTCCTCTGCGGCCCGGGAACTGTAGCTCTGAAGCAATACATAGTGGAGGCAGTGAAGACGGCTGAAATTTCAGGGAAAAACAAAACAAAACAAACAAAACCTGACCTCAATAACCAGAGTCACAGATTCTTAGGTGTAAACGAACTCCCAACCATCCACCAGTTCAAGTCAAGTAGAAGGGACATTCCCAGGAGAAAAGTCTGGTTCCTTTTCATTGCTTTCCGAGGCAGAGAAGAGACTTCAACTCAGGGACTTAAGGTCAGCGTACATCTAGATCTGATTTCCCAGACACCCAAGAGCTCAAGAAGGTACTGGGACACCTGTGTCTACTCAAAAGTATAGTTTTGAGTGGCATTTTCCTGACTAAGAAGCTGCATACAAGAAGCTGTCTGAACAAGGTCCTCTGAGCTCCACAGGACACACAGCCAGAGCTCCTTCTTGTCTACACTTTCACGATGTCTTCAAAACAGCGCATCCAAGAAACGGGCACAGAAACGGCCCTTTCCCTTATTTGGCAAGATGGTAACCTAAGGAAAATGTGGGTGGAGACAGGGTTTACAAAGGAAATGACGGCCATGTATGAGGAGACAGAAATGCTCATTATTCTCATTTGATCATTACACCGTGAATCAAAAGCCTATCCTGTATCCCATAAACACTTCCACTTATTATAGTCCAATTAAAAGCAAGGCAGTCTCTGCAGTTGTATGAGGGCTCAGAGGAAATGCAGTCCAGAAGACTCCCCAGTTAGAAGGGATGGGATTGGACTCATAAGGGCACTGAGGAACACCACATGTGGCTGACCCAGTGGAGAGTGCTGTTTATTACCACCAGAGAACAGGGACTTTCAGGTATGTTCAACACATTAAATTGGGACTTTGAAGTCTAAAGTTTCTGTATTTGCATTCTAAAGTTTCTGTGTTTGCATTCTAAAGTTATGTACAGGCAAAAAGCGTCCAGCGTGTGAGTCACCGAAACAACCCCCTCCAACTCTGCCGGCCCGTTTCTTTTGTTGGGACGAACAATGACACAGCCGCGGCAGCACATTTCTCTTTACTGCGGTTCCAGTTCTGCTATGGGTGGTTGATTTCATGTATTTCCACTCTAATTGGGAATATTTTATGATGTCTACTCTAGAAATCATTGCCAACACTTCCTGAGGTTTAAGGTTTGCTTCACTTTAATCTAAATGCAGCAAATTCCTTTCTTCAATATAAGCTTTAGTAGCCAACAACGTGAAAAGTTTGGGTGAGGTTTGTCTGGCTTTTCTAACAGGATGTACACCCTAAGTATTATATTGCATCTTAGTCAATTCTTAAACCACCATGTTCTCCACCCAATCATTACAAATGAAAACTCCTATTAAAAGGCTGGGGATTCCTCTCTGACATCCAGTTTGCAGCTACACTTAATGTCTATGAACTAGAACAGACATCTTTGGCCAGAATGTAACTCATGACTGAGATACACAAGTTCTTTATCATACACCAAAGAACACCATTGGGTAATATATTGTGAGTATTTCCCTTTCGCCTGGTTTTTCTCTCATTTTTTTTCTTAAATGTCATTCTGTTTGATTTTAATGTTTTATCTGATGACTAATTTATAAACAATAAAATTGATGTGCATTAGGTCAGAGTTCTGAATGATAACTGTGTGTAATCACAGCCAAAGCCAAAACAAGAGCCAGAAGGTGTGTCTGAGATAAGTGATCCCGTTTCAGTCTTATCACCGGCCCAGTTAACGGCTCGTGATCAAAACACAGCTGAAATTCTAACTACTATCCGATTCCGGCAGGAAGACTCAATAGCGCTGCAGGCAATGCAAACAACTTGAAAAGCTAACTGCAAACTACCAGAAAAAGACATGGGGTAAAATATACAGGTAAGGAAAAGGGCACTGGGTGGCTGTGGTGCCCACAAGCACGAAACCAGTCCTGCGACAACAGAACCCAGATTACAGCTGAGAAGGATTGATCAGCAGATCCAGTGCGGGCTCTGTGACAGGCTACGTGAGCCTCACAGAAACATGGCCATCTAGACAAAGAACAGGAAGCTCTCAGGGAATCGTTCCAATCACCCAAGTGTTAACACCACTGATAGGCAGACAACCAAGCTCCCCAACTCTGCTGCTTGGGAGAGTAAAAGTACGTGACGCCAGACCTAAATGTAGCTCCCAGTTTCTTGTCTGGAAAGTAAATATATTGCAACAAACAGAAATTCCAATGTTGTAATTTTCATTAAAAAATAATATCATGCCAGTTCATACACATATCATCTCACCTCAGTATGTCTAAGTTTAAAAGTTTACATACTTTTGAACCTGTAATGCTAAAGATTACACTCTAAAACCAGGGCAGATGGCAAGTGTATCCTATAGAACATTACAAACAGCAGACATATGTTTACTAGAAAGAATTTATTTAAAGGAGCGTATAGAAGAACTGATAACTACACCAACAGCTGAGTCACAATCAACATTTCCAAAACACCATTAACTGAGTGACTGTCACAGTGAACACACAAGCAGGGAAAATGCTTTCCGTGGTCAGATGAGTAGTAACAGCAGGATTATTGGAAAGAAATTAACCTACACTGCTAAAATTGGGGCAGGGTAGAGAATACAGTTGCATTCACTGTGACAAAATATTAATTTTTGTAACCACCTTGGAAGGATAGACTCGAAAAGCATTTTGGGGACTCGCTCTGAAGAAACACTGAGTGGAAATGTATCCTGCCTCTCCTAAGCTTAACCATGCTCTGGTCACCAAAGGGCTGCTAGGAACTTGACTTACCTGCACAGACTTGCATTGGTACAGGAACCGGGATCCTGCCACATGTGCTTGTGGGTTGGACTGAAGTCCTATATGTGCCCACAACACCTGGATCTCCAGGGAAACCGGTATGAGACAGCAGGAAGAGCAGTTAGCAGCCTGCAGAAGGCAAAGACACAGGCACTCAGTTGCCATTGTTTTTGTTTTCTTAAAGATTTTTATTTATGTATATGTGTCTTTCTGTGCATTTGCACATCTGTACAGATGTGCATGGAGGTGAGAGAGGGTGTCAGATTCCCTGCGGATGGAATTATAGGCAGTTGTGTGCTACCAGCGGGTGCTCTTAACTGCTGAGCCATCTCTCAGCATCTCTTGAGCAGCTACTGCTTTTAAAGCACTATGTAGTAATACAGAAGGCCCCTATGGCTTAGAGAAGCACAAAACTAGACCGTAGTAATGTTCTTAATCTCACAAAAAGTTGTAGCTATAAGTAATCAACAGGTTGATGATTCTTCTGAAAGCTAACGATGAATCTATCAGACGGTCTGGCTATTCCACTCGGGTGTCGGGTGTATACACTCAATAAAAAGAAACCCAGATGTTAAGAAGACAGTTTGCTGCAGCACTATTCATAGCAACCAACAGGATCTCAACTGAGGTTCCCATCAATGGGTGAAAGGATGAAGAAAATGTAGTATTCATATAATGGAATAAGATTCATTCATTCGTAAAAGAAAAGAAAGCAAGCTTGTCATTTGCAGTAAAATGGGTGGACACGGAGAACACTACCCCCTGTGAAGTGACACATGGACACACTGTCACATGAGTGGGAACTGACAATGTTGACCTTAACACAGAAGAGCAGACTTCTACAGTGATTACCGGACACTAGTTAAAGTTGGGGGTGGGGTGCACAGAGAGGAAGGTGGGACCATCAGTACCAAGCTGCAGTTAGACAGGAAGAACCTCCTGTGCGCACAGAACAGTAGGGCAACTACAGCTCTAAATCACTGGTTGTGCATGTGCATTTTATGCAGAATTTGAAAGTTTAATTCCCACCACTAAAAGAAAAACGAACTTGAAAAGGAGGAGCTAACAGACTCTGAAGGTAACAATAAAGAGGAGAAAATGATCACTAAATATTGTATGTATATACTGAAGTTTCACACACAGCTCATAAATATATACAGATTATGTTAATTAAAAATAAAACTTCCAAAAAGGCACACAACTAAGAGCACATGTTGCCAAGGAGAAAGACTCACTAAGTGGCAGCTACAAAGTGTCTCCTAGGGACCAAGGATATGAAAGGCCGTAGCCTTGAGCAGATAACTTGGAAAGCAATGACAAGTTAGATAAGACACATCAGGGTTAGATTCAGAAGCCATCCAAACAGTCAGTTTTGAAGGCATCAGAGAGCCATGTAAAATTTCAGAACAGAAATATGACATATTTAAAGCAGTACACTAAGAGAAATAATTTTAAGATGTAGGAAGATACATTGGGGCATGGTCTCTCTCTCTTTAAAAAAGCAGCGGCTGTCCTCCACTCTCTCTCTGGCTTCCGGCTCCACTTCCGGCTCCTAGACTCCTTTCCTGATTGTGCATTGGGGCTGTTGTTTGGGACGGTAATCTGTAAGTTTTTTCCCCTTTGAATAAATAACCATTCTATTAATCATAATTCAAAACTGGTGTGGGATTGTTTGTGACTTACACCTTCACCTGTCCTAAAAATCTAACCTGTGGCAATTACAAGAGAATGTGCCTGCTGTCAGTCTCATAAACAAACCTGTATTGACCAAGAATTTAAGACTGTATATAGGGTTGGAGAGATGGCTCAGAGGTTAAGAGCACTGCATGTTCTTCCAGAGGGCCTAAGTTCAATTTCCAGCAACCACATGGTGACTCACAACCATCTGTAATGAGATCTGGTGCTCTCTTCTGCCCTGCAGGTATACATGTAGACAGAACACTGTATACATAATAAATAAACAAATCTTTCAAAACAAAAAGACTGTATATAAGTATAGCTGGAAACATGACTCAGCAGGTAAAGCTTGCTTGCTGCCAAGCCCAGTAGCTTGAGTTTGACCACCCCCAGGACACACATGGTAGGTGAGGACCACCTCTCCAAGCTGTCCTCTGACTTCCACACATATGCACACCCAGGATAAATATAGTGGAAAATGAATACAAGAGAATATTTGAAATATATGGCATGGCTTTGAACCAAAAGTAACCATCAGTGGTTCTCAACCTTCCTCATGTTGTGCTGACCCCCAACCACATTACTTTTGTTGCTACTTCATATCTGTAATTTGCTACTGTTATGAATTGCAATGCAAATATCTGATATGCTGGATGGTTTTACCCTGGGAAAGGATTGTTCAAACCCCAAAGGGTATGCAACCCACATGTTGAGAACTACTGCTCTAGATTAGCAAGTTTCTTTAAAGTCAGGAAAACAGATTAGATGCATGTGCAACCTGCAATAGTGACCTCAAGCAGTCCTGATTCCTTCCATTCCTCTTTATATGATAAATACAAACAGAAGGAGGGCTGGTTTTTGCCTTGTTGCCCATAAGTTCAGAAGTGGGAAACGAGCTGCCAGTCAGCAGTGGCTTCCTTACTGTAACACTGCAGTTCCTGCCGAGGATCCTGGTCCACCCTCCTTTCTGGGCTGGGTCAGCATTACCAAAGATGGCAACGTGCTCTGGCCTGGGCCCCCCATGAAGAGCCTGATAAATCTCCTCCTGCAAATGGCTGCAGCTCCCCTCTTTGGGTCTGGAAGTAAACAACATAGAAGCTGGAGTCCAATAGTAACATGGTAGCGGCCATATTAGCATTCAAACATTAATATTATGACAGACTGGAGGAAATAACCTTAATAGGTACTTCATGCCATCAGAAAACACTTGACATACAGTAACAGATATAAAGACTATCATTTTAAAGTGTTATTTAAAGTGCTAATATATCAATGTAGTCCCTATAAAACAAACAAAATTGTGGGAAGTGCTCTGAAGCAAATAATTACCTTAACTTGCATCCAGATACTGTGTTCACTCCAAACTGTATTTCATGTCTCTTAACAGAGCAAATTCCACTACCTTCGCTCTGCAACAGAGTCATCTGAGGTGCAAAAGTGACGGTCAAGGCGAGTATAACAGGAAGAGGAAGTGCACAGGGCTGGGAAATTGATCTTTTCACCGTTACCTAAGCACTATCTGCAATTAGTTTTTCTAAAAATAATTAGCCATATATATTATATGTTATATAAAATGTGTGTGTGTATATTAGCATATGAGTATCTCATTAAAATAAGCAAAAGTCAGTACAACCCTCACTTGCAGTTAGTCTATAAAGCCTTTGGTGGCATCAACATCTGAGAATATAAAACACTTTGGTAAAGAAAGTGCTGAACACCAAAGTCCGAGGGAACCTTGAGAACTGAACAAGTCGCAACATCAGCAGCATTTCTTGTTGGCTGCGACAGTCCACCCAGCTCCTAAAAAGATACCGAGTGACCAAAGTCACCAGTCAGCACCAAAAGTGGCTTCCCGATGAGGTAGCCAGGATTCCCACTTCTGGGACCAGCAGGAAGAGCAGCCACGCGTGGTTCAAATGCCTGCAGAAGGAAGACGACAATTGCGGTGTAAACATACTTCCCTGCCGGACTCACGTCTTCACACCTTCCCTCCTCGTAGGCAATCCAGGAGCTGCACTGAGCAGCCTTATCCCCACTGTTCCCTTTCCGCCCTCTCTAAAATAAATCTGAACTGATCTGTTTGCTGTTTTGTTTTGGGGAGTACTGAGGACTGAACTTAGGGTCCTCTATGTGCTAGGCAATCTGAACTGAAATTCACTACAGACTAACTCTGCCAAGGATTAAGTCAGGGACCTACTAAGGACCCCTTGACACACTACTTCTCACAGTTGACACCGATTTCATGCAATGTGTGGCCTGGCTGAATCCAGAGGAATTTAAATGCAAATTTAATCTGAACCAGAAACAGGGCTGTGAGGGACACAGAGCTTGGCTGATCACAGACTTGGAAAGAACTCTGCTCAGTTCAAAAGGAGGAAAGAGGTAGAAGAAAGGCAGAGAGGTGAGAGCAGTGAAGGCTACAAACCAGAGACTCAGTGAGAAATAAAATTATGAATGTCTGAAAAAGAGAAAAAAAGAGGAAAGGAATTTCTGTGTGCTGCTGAACTTAAGACTCACGGTGAACATCTTTAGCTCATGGTGAACATCTTTAGCGAGTCTGTTTGAGTACCACTTTGGTTGGGCCCAAACAGAGCATCAGAGAAAATGTTACCCACACACATATTGAATATCTGTCACTCTAGCCAAATTAAGGAACAGTAAATGTCGAGACCTCACATAAGACCAAAACAGGCCTTGATATTCTGCTTCTACTTTGCATGCATTACAGAAACAGAGTGCTATTATTTCTATTCTGTGAAGCGGAGTGGGAGATTTTATTAACGACATTTTAGTAGGAGAAAGAAAGGTGCTCAGAAAGACAGACAGACAGACAGACTCATTATGGATCCTGGATCTTCAAAGTGCTATTTCTAAGACTCAGCCCCTAAACCCTCTCTGAAAGAAGGTCACTGACCCTAAAGTGAATGATGAAGTCTTGTTGTAAGGAAACGCCTGGCTCGACAGTCAGGTTGATCTGTCGAAAGCTGACAGAGACTTTCTGGATCCCAAAGGTCCCATTGGTCTCTATCTCATAGATGACCTGAAAAGTAGAAGAGTCAATTAATAAACAAAAATAAATACAGATCGAGCACAGAAGCCTCTTCTGTCTGTATTTTAACTGCATGCGAGAGACTTGAGAGTAATCAGAAACACACCAACAATAATAGCATGAAAAGATAAAGATGACTTGATATTGCATTTGCATGTGAAAAAAAAAAGAGACCAAATAGGGCTCTAAGGAAAAGTTCACGGGAGAGGTGTGATTAAGACAAGTGTTTAGAGTGGGCAAAGATGGGCAGGTAAGGTACTGGGCAAAGGTAAGCACGGAATGGAAACCTGGGTTATCAGACCCTCACAGTGTCAGAAGAGAAATAAGAACAGCAGCTGGGGACAGAGGGGAACACAGTCCTTAAAAATGCTACTTTCAGATAATGTTTACTCCTCTACCCATTTCATTGACTATAAGAGACCACTAAAGTTGACTCATCTCAGATTCGGAGAGATATTGTGTCGGCAGACAGAAATATGAAAAGTCAGGAAGAGCCGGCACAAGGCTGTGTGTGTGATGGAAGAGGAGGAACCTACAACACTGGACGACAGCAGCGGCGGCCATGACGGAAACATGGTGGGAAGGAGGTGATGGGGTCAACTCCAGCAGTTCAGTGAGTCGGTACCCAACTGTGGGAAGATGAGGTCCCTCTGGCAACAGCACCATTTAGAATCCATACCTGGGAAACTATATTTTGACACATGTTTCCAGCCAGGAGAGGAGGACTTATTTCTGAGGCAAGTGTTACCGGAACCTGGAGCTGGCAAGAGAAAGAAACCGAAAGTGGCCCTTTCTCCTCTGGCTCTGTATCATGCTTGAATGAATACATTCTTTCCCCTCGACTATTCCAATTTTCTCTCCTTCCAGTGCCGGATGACTTAAATCCGAGCCATTCTCAATTAGCACATCTCAACACAAGCTTCTTGGGACACCAGTCCTAGTATACATGAAACAAGGGCCCACAGCCAATCAGATGTAAAGAATTCTGTATTCCACCTCCAGACACTGACAGTCCATGAAAAGACTCTGAGACGCCCACTCCAAACGTAGCATTTTAGTTAGATTTAACTCAGGCGTTCACTAAACTTATCAACATCTCATCGATCATTACCTCATGAAGTTATGTCTAGAGCCACGCTTGACTGTGGTTCAAAGTGCCTATATTCTCCTTCATTATTATAATCTGGAATGAATTGGCCTCGGCTGCACAAGGGCCAGACGTTCTTTTTTCCTGATAAATTCCATCATACCTTTGTGTTCTGAAGGTCAGCCAGTCCTCTTGGAACCTAGGAAAGGCAAAGGACAGAGACATGAGGGTGCATACGCCTTACAGAAAACCACCAGGAGTTTCCACTTCACAGGATCCCACCCAGACTTTTGTGGGGGAGGGGACAAAGATCAAAACACTGGAGTGGCCTCTCCTCTGCCACCTGACTCTCCAGAGAGTGGGGCTGGAGGCCAGGCTGGGCTGCAACGCCTCCCTACCCAGGCAGAGCTCCAAAAACAAGACCAACTTTGGCGAAAACCGGAAACCGTCACTCACTCCTTCACTCTCTCAAGTCAAGCCATTAGCCAGGAGGGTGACAAGGTCTTTCTTACCTTGGATCTACTGCTTCTGATTCGTCCATCTTTCTTTAGACAATAGTTCCCATAGCCTCTACCGTATATATAAGTCTTAGGAGTTATGGCTTCCAGCTTAGGGATTTTCTAACCCATGTTGTGGGTGACAGTGTGAACGTCGTGATGAAGCTGAGCGATTTGAGGGAAGAGGGTCTGTCGAGTGGGGACAAAGGAACACCTACCTTCAAGACTGTGAAGTTATAATAAGTGGCAGCATCCAGGGCAGGCTCCGAGGTGCAGCTACTGGCCAGGTCCCTGAAGAAACGGGTGCAGGCTGTGCTTTTGCTCTCTAGGAAGCCTTGCAACACAAAGAATAAAGAGGGGTAAGTGGCACGTGAGAAAGCTTGCTTCCAAAAAAACCAAAAGACTGGTGGACTCCTGCCCCAGACCCACCTGCAGGGTTGCTCTCAGTACAGAGTCCGCCAGCTCCCACTGCTGCAGGCTGCCTCAGCGAGCTCACTGCAGACCAGCTGGGGTAGTAAGTCAGGATGGGATCCCCAGCCTGAATGAACACAACAGAGGACAAGCTCAGCCACAGTAAAGTTAGGCTGAACAGCCCAGAAAAAGGAAGCAGAAACAAGTTAGCTCGATGGAGCTGACAATGGCTAATCTCATTGTAGGAGGGAATTACAAAGTCACACTGCCAACTGTACTCTGCCAGGAAAACCAGACTATTCTGCCCCTTCACCTAGGCTCACCCTGTAAAACGGTGATGGCGGCTGGGTTTCCGGTGTTGAAGTAAAGGGTTGGCCTCCAAACTCTGCAGCCAGGGCCTGGAAGTTGGTTGCATTGACTGTTTGGAGCTTCTGGAAATAGTTTAATTTTGCTAAAAATATTTTTAAAAAGAACAGATACTTAGATAAAAGCATTTTCTTTTTAAGTATCTGACATAATAAACAACATTTGAAGTACAACAAACACACATTATCACATGCAAACGAACATCAGAGTTTAAGAACAGACTACAAGCCAGGTGTGATGGACGCCTTGAGAGGCAGAGGCAGGGGGATCTCTGTGAGTTCGAGGCCAGCCTGGTCTACAGAGCTAGCTCCAGGACAGCCAGGGCTGTTACACAGAGAAACACTGTCTGGAAAACAAGACAACAAAACAAAACAAGAGACAAGATGGTTCAGCAGGTAAGGGTGATTGCCACCAAGACTGACAATGACTTGAATTCTTGGGACTTACATGGTGAAAGCAGAAAACTGATTCTCCCAAGCTTTCCTTTGATCTACACAAGTATGCTGTGGCATACACTCATTCATACGCATGTGTGTGCCCACACCCTCTCCACAACACAAAGTAAATTAATGTAATTTTAACAAAATAAAGTACTTCTCAGACACAGGTGTGTTGACACCTGGTCTGTGCACCACCTCCTAGCACAGGTGTGCTAACACCTGGTCTGTGCACCACCTTCTAGTACAGATGCACTGACACCTGGTCTGTGCACCACCCCTAGCACAGGTGTGCTGACACCTGGTCTGTGTACCACCCCCTAGCACAGGTGTGCTGACACCTGATCTGTGCACCACCTCCTAGCACAGGTGTGCTAACACCTGGTCTGAGAACCACCTTCTAACACAGATGCACTGACACCTGGTCTATGCATCACCCCTAGCACAGGTGCGCTGACACCTGGTCTATGCACCACCTTCTAGAACAGGTGTGCTGACACCTGGTCTGTGCACCACCTCCTAGTACAGGTGTGCTGACACCTGGTCTATGTGCCACCTTCACGTGTGCCCTGCATCTCTAGGAGCTGAGGCTGCCAGCTCTGCAGCTTCCAGGAGCAGATTGACATTTCCTCCAGAAACTGCACAGAAAGGCTATTTACTTCATATCAAGTCCAGTTACTGCTACCTTTGTAAGAAAAAGTTAAAGTGAAGTGAGGAGAGAAGATGAGGTCGGACAACCAATATCCATCAATTCTTCCTGTGGCTTTTATCAGTAAGAGCAAGTTACCTCTTGCCCCTCATTTCAGTACAGGTGTATTGGTGGAAGGAGATGGCACAGATAAGACACCGACGCTAAGGCTATATTACATATATATGTCCACCATTGCACAGTTCAAAGGTAGACTCTGATATAACTGTGAATTCAGAAAGTGATAGGGGAGTTCAGCCAATCATATTCTGTTTTCGGGGCGTGCCGCCCTCAGGCAAAAGCCTGCCTAAAAACCTTGCAAACATGCTCCGCTAGCTCTCTTTTCGCCTGGCTCCTGTGTCCGGACGGATCGGTTGGATTTTGGTGTAAGCTGTTGTAAGTCTTACTTCTGTTTATTAAAGCTATATATTTTGTATCAAGATAGTCTGGGGACTTTTCTTTACCAATCGCCCTGCAGCTTCAAGAAAGACGCCTAGAGACCATCTCATCAAATCCCACTAGAAAATTTGGATCCTCAGAGACAAATGAGTTGCAAGAGCCTCAGAATAAGCTAGCCAAACCAGGAGTAGAACGCCAATCTCCCAATTCCTGGTCTGCAGTTTTCCAAACCCACATGAAGTAGAGACCCTGGTGAGAATAGCCTTCACTGATCATTACCAGGAGGTATTATCTCTTATTAATAAATAAAGATATGGTTTGTCCTCTTAAAAGGCTGACAATTTATCTGGAGAGTCCTAACAGTCACATAAACTGCTAACAATACCAGGAACGCTACAAGTCCTTAAGAAATGATCTAAGACGGCGAGTGTCTCAGAACTTCCGAGGATGGGCACATTTCCAACTTGGACAAATGACCGAAGAGTCTTAGGAGAGCTAAGGCTTTCAGAATGAAAGGAAAAAGAGGAATCATGGAGAAAAGTAAAATTCAAGGCATATTTTGAGGACAATGAACATTAAGCTGACCAAAATAAAAGAGTGTAAATCATTAAAGAAAAGCTTGCAAAAAAAAAAACAACAAAAAACAAAGTTAACTCAGACTGCCAAACTAACGGAGCTGGGCAGTATTTTCAAGGTAAAGGCGAGTCACCGGAGGTTTCTGACATTATTAATGTCCTCTACTAACTGAAAGGAAGAGGGTAGTGGTAAGGGGCGGATTCAAGTTGAAACAAACAGGGCAAGTCCAAAGACAAAGCCACATCTTAAATGACAAGAACAGCGAAACTTGTTTCTACTCACAGTTGTTCACACGGACACAAAACTGTGCAATTCCACTGGAATCCGTGAGAACTCTGGAAGGAAATGGGGAGTTGCTCCTGAAGATAAGAGAGTGGTCGACACACAACCAGCTGGAGGATCTGTGAGCAAAGAAGAAGATACTGAGGAGTGGCAAGGGTAGGCTTAGAAGAGGGGCCCCTAGGATGTTTAAAGGCTCAGTTCTACAGAAACGGGAAGATCACTCCCAGTAAAACCCAGGGGGAACATCCTAGGGCAGGAAATAGGGGTAGGAGGCTCACTCTAGACCCCAAGAGCACGACAGCAGTTCACCTTACACTACCAGGAAGGCAGAAGGAAAAGACTGTCCTGGGATGGAGAAGATCGCAGTCCTTGTCACAGCAGCAGTTTAAATCGCAGGTACCAGGAGTCAAGTCACAGGTGCAGATCGATAAGGCTATATGTGCAAGTTAAAGCAAAGAGAGATGAAGTTCCCCAAAAATTTCCCGCGCGAACAGCCTCTTCTATCAGCTGTTCAAAATCGGCAAGTCAATTTTGTCCACAGAATTTAGATCTGAGAAGCCAGTATTTCCATCCCATATCCCGCCGCATCACCTGGGGAGGAGTCTGTGGTTGTGTTCTCGGGCACCGACGGAGTTCCAGGAGTAGGGCCCTCAGACCAGTCCGGAGGAGCTGCAGTCGCCACTTCGGGCGTCATTGGCCCCAGGGCCGAGGAGGTGGGCAGAGCCTGGGCTGGGGAGGTGGGCTGAGGTCTGGCTGCATCAGGAAGTATCAGGACCACCACCGTCAGCAGGAGCAGCTGCGGAGTACACATAGGGCAGCCGGGCTGCAGAAGGGTGCAACGGGACCCTAGCTCGCCAGAAGCGTAATAGGAGCGCAGGGAGGAGGAGTCGCATGACGTCATCAGCTTCCATCTGCACATTGGCTCAGTCTGTTGTTGAGTGTTCTTTAGCCAATGGAAGGCCGTGTTGTTGAGACCCTGCGTATCCTACGTGCTGTGCCCGCCTCCTTAGCGGCGCGTGGCTCCCGTCACCTTGGCAACCGCTGTGCGCCATCCCAGGGGCGGCGGCGCCCCTGCCCCTTCCCGCCGCTAGGTGGCGGCGCCCTTGCCCCTTCCCGCCGCTAGGTGGCGGCGCCCTTGCCCCTTCCCGCCGCTAGGTGGCGGCTGGTGCCATGTTGGTGCCCTATGAGGACCTGGAGGAGTCGAAGGAGGCCACCTTTGAAAGGAAGAGCCAGAGTCAGGCACTGGAATTACAAGGCTCTTTTGATCCGTTTTCCCAAGGTAAGAAGAGGCACTTTCTGTGGAAGGGTCATGATCTAATAAAGAAAAACAAGTCACATCCTTTAAACATGCCGGAAAACCGAGGGCCAGATCATGCTCGTTACTCTCGAGACTCAAGCAGGATCACGAGTTTTAGGTCAGCCAGGGCTACAGAGTGAGATGGTGATCCTTAAAACAAGGACAGAGTGATAGGGGCTGGAGAGATGGTTCTGCTGCTAAGGACATTTGTTCTTTCAGAGGACTGGGGTTCTCTTCCCAGCTCCCAGAGTGTGTCTTACAACCGTCCGTAGCTCCAGTTCCAGGGGATCCTTTGATTGTGCCATCTTCTGACCTCACTAGGCATCAGACATCCACAGATGCATGCGGGCATAGCATCTAGAAGAAAAATTTAAAGTATCTCCACTGTAATTTATGGTATTTTTTTTAAGGTACAATAAAAGCAATGCTTATTCAACTCCATGAGTTTCTTTTCTTTCCTTTTGAGTCACAGTTTCTATGTGGCCAAGGATGACCCTGGATTTCTCATCCTCCTGGGTAGCTGAAATTACAGTCCTAGATGCCACCACAACATCCTGGAGGGCAAACTCAAGGCTATGGCTTTATGCATACTGTGCAAATAATCTACCATCTTCAATTTTATTACTGAAATAAATAAATAAATAACCCTTTAGTAAGTACATCACATCTGTGCAGGTGACCTATGTGCTTGTTGCTTGAAAGGGTAGTGAGAGGAGAAGTTCGGTATGAGTAACAGGGTGGGGAAGAATGTGAGGGGTTGAGAAAGTCAAAATTTAGAAATATGTTCTGAGGGGAGAGTAAAACAAGATACAGAAATGGAAGCAGCCAAGGACCTGAGGAGAATGCTTATTTCTTTTTTACCATTTTAAATACAAAACTTTGCGACACTCTCAAGAGTGCTTTTGCTTTTCTTCGGAGTGGAGCTGACTGTCCAAATAGCAGAAGCATTCTGTGTTTGCCCTAATCTGATCGACACAGGCATGTATGACCGTTGCTCACGTGTTGAGCACCAAGAATGCTCGAGCTGCTAAATATTTAATTTTAAAATTGTAATTAATCCAAAGTTAAATAACTTCAGGTGACTACTAGCTATTTAATTGAGCAGTTGGATTGTATATGATCAAAGCCTACCTGCCAGACCTTGTCTCCCTGTAGTTGCAATTCCAACATCTGGATTATTTTCATTGTTTGTTGGTGAAATAAAGTAAGTTACCTGACTAAACTCTAGTCCACATCCTTAAAATTGACTTTTGATAGCTCTCTTTTCCAGTGAATTTCCTGGGCGGATAAGATTTGGGACACTTGAAATTGTTCATATTTCCCAGAAAGATCTTAATTTTGATAATACCCTGAAATTCATAGTTAAATACTTATTTATGCTCTAAATATTCTCAAAGTTTTTTATGTGATTGAGTGGTGAACAAGGAAATAATAAGTAAATATTTATGTAGTGTTTGACCTCAATACACTTATTGGGTGTAGTAGCAATTTCCATAGTTTATTTTTTTCTATTTACTTTTTCTTTATGTGTAAGTGTCTCTCTGTGTGCCTCATGTGTGCAGAACCTGTGAAGGACAAAAGAGGGGGTAAGATTCCTAGGGAGCTGGAGTTTCAGGAGGTTGTGCCCCCTGGGTGGATGATGGGAACGGAATGCTGGTACCCTGGAACCGCAGAAACCAGTCTTCCACCCTGAGCCATCTCTCTAGTTCATATTCCATAGTTTTTCAAAGATCCCTTGCCTAGTCATGCTAGCCATGTTCATATATAGGCATTTACGATGTATATTGATGACTGTTTTGTTGAAATCCTTCAATTTAGTTCTTGGGTCATTATTTTAAAAACTCTGTTTTATATCGGATCATAAAATCTTTTAGATCTGAAAGTGAAGAATTCACATTTCCCCTCAGCCTTATTCCTGGATGATTGTTGGGAAACTCATCTGATTGAAGCAATCTCAGGGTTGACTGATAAGGAAGTGCTGTTTGGCAACATTTCAGTTGCTTTTTCTTATCTTCAAGTTTCAGCACCTCAGGACTGGGTTCAGCTCAGTGGCAGAATGCTTGCCTACTGCATTATAGGCCCTGCACCCTGTCCCCAGCACCGAGGGAGGGGCAGTTTAGGTCTCCATCCAAGTTTTCTGTAATTTGTAGAGAGCTGGGAAAGATGGAAGAAGAGAGTTAGAATTTGTTCCCAGTCTTCCATCTTGATCCAATCTGCTATGTTTTTCAACCACATATTGCATGCTTTTCCTCTCAAACAGAGACAGTTTGCTGAAATCATATGATCTAATTTGGAAAAATCTTCTCCTAAAGTGATGTCATATTATCTCATCCAAAGACTTGATACTATCTTAAAATTGGCATCTGCTTGGCACATGAAAACAAATTTCATTCTCCTCAAAATTATCTTTTAGATTTTATTTATTTATTGGTTTTTCTAGACTGGGTTTCTCTGTTTAACAGCCCTAGCTATTCTGGAACCAGCTCTTGTAGACCAGGCTGGCTTTGAACTCACAGAGATCCTCCTGCCTCTTCATCTCAAGTGCTGGGACTAAAGGTGTGTGCTGCCACCACCTGGCTAGATTTTAATATTAGATCTCCAATTGGATTTCTTTTGTTCTTTTATTTGTTTTTTGAGACAGGGTTTCTTTGTAACAGCTCTGGCTGCCCTGGAACTCACTCTGTAGACCAAGCTGGCCTCGAACTCACAAAGATCCACCTGCCTCTGTCTTCCAGATGTTGGGATTAAAGGTTTGTGCCACCACTGCCCAGCAAGAATTGAGATTTTTGTGGTACAGGTTCCAGCAAACAAAGTAGGAAGAATTTAGGCAAATTTTTGGTGAACCTGTTAGAACTGGGAACGAATTCTCTCCTCTGTTGTAAATCTAAACATCACAGCAAAGGCTGCTGAGTGCACAGACTCATGTGCAGAAATGCACACACCTTGAAACTGAAAAACAAGAAAAGGAGAAGAGATTACAAACAGACAGCTGTGAGCTGCCCACCTGCTGTAGCTTTTGGTGTTGTGGAACCTCAACAAGCGAGGCAATCTCTCATCTCCTACCTCTTGTGAAGTTTTTGATCTTCTGCTGTGTTTTTTTTTTGGCTTTTCTGGTTGTTTTGAGAGAAACCTTATCAACAAAGGAGATGGCCAGCAATGTTACCAACAGGACGGACCCTCAGTCCAGGACATCTCTAGTATTCATTGGGAATCTCAGTACTCTGTGGTCAGGAAGTCTGGTGTGGAGACAATTGCTTCAAAGTATGGCAAAGCTATGGCTCGCTCTGCCTTGGTCAAGTATGTTAATGAGAAAGATTAACTTCTGGGCTGCTATAGCCACAGAGGATGACAGAGTGATTGCTGGCCAGAGTTTAGATGTTAATTAATCTGGCTGCAGAACTGAGAGGGAACTGAAGAAGAGTAGGCGTGAAACCATCGGCAGCAGGAAGGTATGGTTCCTTGTTTGACTTGAACTCTGACTTCCCACGGAACTATCATGACAGGATGGATGTGCAGTTACCCATCCCATCCCCAGTGGAGATGAAGAATGAGAGGTCTAGAGAAGGTCTGTCTGTGAGGAAAGATGGAGTCTGAGGCAGATACAAATGGCTCTGCTGAACAGGTGGCCATCTGGAAGATGCAGGGAGGGTGTGACGAGCTGGAGTTGATCAAAGATGATGAGGAAGAGGCTGAGGAAGGAGAGGATGGCTCTTAAGCACAGGGTGCAATTAAGAAGTCGTACCCTGTTATTCCGTTACCTAGGCGCCTGTGAGAGACTGAACTAACAGCAGCTCCTCTCCCCTGGTATCTTCAGCAATCCCCATTGCCCTCGCTCTCGTTCATAATTGCCCTTCACCTGATTCCACTTCCACTTCCTCTGATGCTCCTTGGTAGTTCTGTCAGGTCTTACCCTGCAAGTTTCGCTTTACATTTTGGTACCTCTTCGACTTCACAATAAGAAGATTTTTTTGTTTTTAATCAAAAAACCAAAACCATGAAAAGGTGTTCTCAATGATTGTATATATATTCATAATATATATTATATATATAATCATATATATATGATTATTTGTGTATGTGAAATAAAGACTTTTACCTAAACTATATGAAGAACCCATAGGAAAGTAACAAAAATTGGTCAAGACTTGACCAAGTCCTTTATGGAAGAGGATGTCTACTTTAATTTGGATCTGAAGTCTCAGAGGACCAGTCTCAGGAGCTGTTGTGTGATGATAGAACCTTCTAGAAGTGGGGCGTGGCAGGAGGAAGTTTCCTGGGTGCCATGAGGTGAGTACCTTCCTCTTGCCCTGTGCTTCCCCTTCACGTTCTGCCTCACACAGGCACAGAGGCTGTGGGCCGAATGACCATGGGATAAAACCTCTTGTATAGAACTTTCCTTCTTGAAAGCTGTTGTGTCAGGCATCTTAGCACAGTGCTGGAAAGCCGCCTACCACAATATCCAAATGACTAATAAACCAAAGTGCAGAAACTTCGTTGATCAAGAAAATCAGAATAAAGACAGCAAGAAAATACCATAACCCTCAGAAGAGCAAAAGATAGGAAAAACCA